TCAAAAAATAATAATAAATCTTTAAGTAGACACTGTAGCCTATCATAACTTCTTGCCTATACAATAAACTACTACCAAACTAATAATAGTTTCTTGTATAGCAAAAAAGATAAATAAAAATTATATATATAACAAAAGATACAAAGGTCATATATTATATAATAAAGTTGAATAAAAGAAACCTGCTAATAGATAAAAACCTCTAAATAACAAACAAATAAAAGAAAACAAACAAAATAAGATTCTACTACCAAAGTAGAAGACTAGATAAAAATTGTATATATATAATACTTAAGTTATTCTTTAAATTCTCAAGGGAGTAAAGTACTATCTTACAGAGAGAATATCATTAAAATAGATTTCCTATAGCATGTGTTAGGCTTAACACATGTTTGTTGTTTGTATACAGTGTAGAAAACAACAGGCTAATATCTAATAGTGTTTGTCAATATGTGTTGCAGATCTTTTGGAAGAGGTAAACTAATTCCTCCAAAAAAACTCTAAGTGGTTTAAAGAAAAATCCAAAAGACAAGATCATAAGAGGCTACTTTTAAGAGAGTAAGATTTTGCTACTTGTTTTTTTATTAAACAGTATAAATATATATTATATCTAGCTATTCTTATACTAGCAAACTACTAGTGAGTGTCACTTGAAATAACAGAGATATTTGACAATTTTTCTTGCTTCTGCTACTACTTTGTTGATAGTACTCAAAAATTACTTCTAAATAATGTAGCTAAAAGAGCTTGTAAGGAAGGTATTTGCTTACAATATGTCATAGAATACTTAGGAAAGAATATTATTATCTGTATAATAAAAAAAGTATTTTCACAGATCAGATTTTCTTTTTAGAAAAAAGTAGTTAGAAGATTGATGAGAAGAGTTGATATTTTGTTGTATATGTTAATAAACTCTTTTCAATTTTAATAATATAATTGCTTTTGTATAAAGTTTTCTTTACAAACTTTATTTTTTCTTTTTTTAAAGCTTTTAAAAATATATAAACTACTATTTTTGTTTAAATTCTTATATATATTTTTATTAAAAATTTATTTATTATCTTCTAATAAATTATTTTTTAGTTTTTTTATAAGTTACTATTTTTTTTTTAGAACTTAAGTGATCTTACACTTTCTTTATTAAAAGAAAATATATAATAATGTTATAACAAAAATATAAACTTAGCAAAGCTAGCTACATAATTGTTCTTTTTATATAAGTTTAAACTCACTTAGCTATTATAATAGTGCTCAGGTATGATCTAATCACAATAGCTAATTTTTCTTCTAAAAGAATAACTTGTCTAAACAAGATTATATTTAATCAATTAACAGAAGGTTATTATATATCATTCTTATCAAAATTGTCTAATTCTCTAACCTTCTTCTCCTAGCTTCCCAAGCTGAAGGAATTAAGTTCTAGTTGACTAATGAAAAAACAAATATCAAGAAAAATAAAAGGGAAAGTAATAAAAGGTAGAATAACTACTGTCTATATGAAAAAAAAGAAAACATAAAAAGAAAATAAAAATAGAATAAAAAAAGCAGAAAAAAAGACAATTAAGATAAAATATACTTTTATAGCATATGCTAAGGTATAAAAATTAAAATTTATTTATAGTACTAACATATATACTATAAATCTTATATATAACTTCTTATTAGCTATCATTCTATTTACTAAGCAGATCTGTATTAGCTTCATATATATTAATCAACTTGTAAACAATTAAGATATAACTTGCCTAAAATAAAATATAGTATGAGTATAGATCCTTTGTTAGGAATGAGCTAAAATTTTTACTTTTTTATTAAAAAAAATGAAAAAAAAAGCTACAGTCATCATATTGGTATTGTTAGTTAAAGGATATAGAAGGTTGTTTGTAAAAACAAATTATAGAGTGAAAGAGTATTGAAGTATTTGCTCTAGTATAAAATACTGTTTGTTATTTCTTCTCCTTGTTTTATCTTTTTCTTCTTTTTAAAATGCTATAATGTAAACTTTTAGCTAAAATAATAGTATTATTACCTGCTAGGTCTTTCTGCCTTTTATGTAAAGTTTACTAGGCTATACAACTCATGCTTTTATTTAATAGCTACTATTTTGCTAGATTTTTTAGAGTTAAAGCTTATTTTGTATTTAAAAAATTTTTGCTCTGTAATAGTTTAGATAATTAGTATGAAGAATGCTTTTAGAGTATTTATAAGTTACTATTATATACTTGATTTGTTTTTTTTGAGTAGTTTATTTTTTTTTAAGAAGTTTTTAGTAGTTTATTTTTTATATTTAATAAGATTTTATTTTTTATTTAAATAAATATATTTTCTATAGTTACTTCTATTACTATCTTTAGTTCTTATTATAGTTATATTATCTCTTCTTAATAGTTTTTAAGAATATATTTTTTTGTAGAACTTGTTGTTTTAATATCTAATTAGAACTTAGTAAAATTTCTATTATTATTCAATTCTTATTAACTCTTTTTTTTTCTAGCTCTCTTATTTCTTTAGTAATAATAAATTCTGTAATAATATTTTTTTTTTAAATTTAGTAGCCATGCCTCAACTTTATTCAAACAGTTTGCAAGACAAAGTTTTTACATTCAAATTTATATTCTTATGTATCTGACTATTTAGCTAAAACTTACTTAGTTATCCAAATAGTATCTATATGCAGTATGCTATAATTAGTCTTTTAAATTTACACTATTAGATTTAGTCACCCAAACTTTCCTATACTTCAGATAGTTCTAACAACCCAAAAAAAAAATTGTTACTATCTAAAAGCTTTAAAGCTAACTAACAAAAAAAACCTTGTTCCAAGTTAAAAACTTTATTAGACAGTAATATAATAGAACAGGCTATATAAAAGAAAAAAGAAACAAAAAAAAAACAAAGTGCCTTTTAATCTGAACTAAGTTCAAAAATATTAAGTCAGCAGACTTATAATTTATCTCAAATTATTCTCTCTCTAATATTATAATCTATTTTTATTGCTTCATAATAATATATCAATAGCTGTTCATATTTTTTCATATACCTGTAGAACTAGTTTTAACAAAACAAGCAAAACAAAACATATATTTCTATGTATTTGTTTTTTGTTTTGTTTATTCCTATAGTTATGCATCTAACAGAATATATCTAAAAATGGATATGATAAACAATGCTGATCTTTTGTAAAGGGAACCTAAATTCTCTACTTTTGTTAATATAGATAAAAAGCTAGTGAGAAAAAGCTTGCAGTATATAATTAATTTCTAAGATTTTAAAAACTATGTTAACAAAATCTTTAGTTGTTCTCTTGCTTCTTAAGCCTTCTTTTACTAACTTCATCAATAAAGAACTTTGTTCTAAAGTTCTTTACCAAAATTTTTTATATAAAGGCTTCATCTCCTACTAGTTATCTTATATAATATTGCTTTTAGCTTGCATACTAAATATACAAAAGAGTCTCTAAAGAGAAGTAGAACTCTAGTTGACCTTTATAAAAACTGTTCTTGTAAAAAGGTCTTCTTTATCATACTTCAACAAAATTTTTGTTTTTTTTGCTTTTTTAATTTTTTGGGAAAAAAGATCATTAGAAAGAGTGATTAAAACTAGTTTGTTCTATATTAATATTTTATTTTTATTTTCTTCTATCTTAACTAAAGTAGATTCTTTTTTTTTATATTTTTTGTATTCTGACTCTGCTTTGGCTATTTTAGGTTTAATCTTTTTCTATATAGTTTTTTTCTTTAACTATTCTATTATTATTTAAAATTTTTATTTTAATTCTTTAAAAATAATTTCTAAGATTTTATTTTCTTCTTTTATTATTATTTTTTTAAAATCTTATACTAAATTCTTGTTGTCTTAATAATTTTAATTTCTACTTCTATAATTTTTGTGATATATTCATCAATTTTTTCTTAATTTCTATTTGTATTATCAATAGTTCTTAGTAGTTTCTAAGATTCTTCTTCTTTAAACAGAATTTTGATTCTGTTTTTTTTCTTTTAGTTTATTTTGCTCTAATCTAATCTTATACTCTACTCTTCTAAAGCTTTTTTCTTTATTCTTTATTTTCTTTTTAGATTCAAACTATATTAATATGGCTATTTGTAAATTGCTTTTATAAAATATATATGTGCTTAGTACTTACGTATTATATTTCTTATATTAAGTATTTAAATAATATTTTAATAAAAATTTATTAAATGAATTTTAATAAAATTTGTAAATAAATTTGATAAAAAAAAATTTTTAATTTTACAAAAATTATAAAAAAATAATTATTAAATTATTATTGTTTAAAAAATTTATTTAAAAAAATAAATTTAATATATTCCGAACAATTAAAGTTATACAGTAATAAAGAGCGGCCTTGTTAGCCAATCAGACAGTTTTAAAAACCCTTGTGTGTAATGTACTATCACAGACAGACATGGGACATTGAACATCGTCCGCGTCCCTAACGGGACAACGTCCGTGTACAACACTGTTACCAGGTATATCTATAATATCGGTATCAAATAAGAAATGAAATAAATGTTTGCAATAGCGATAGTATTTGTATATCGATTGATTGAATGTTTTGTTTGGTTCTATATTGTATATCAAAACAAAGTAAATTATCTAAAATATCTATATATATATATGTATGTTGTTCTAAATGTTTTTTTTTTGTTATATATTAATATGAATTTGATTATAATAAATATAATAAATGCCGAAATAATAATTTTACAAAAAAAAAAAAAAAAAGGAGGGAGGGAAAATCAATAACTTCTCGTACACAAGTACACAAATATACTTTACAATAATGACTTTGCATTTATGAAGAATTTATATATTTATAATAATTGCTAATATAATTTTTTTTTTAGCAAAGTAAAATATTTTCATCACACATATATATACCCCAAAAAATAAAAATGAATAAATAATGTTGTAAAAAATAAAGTCCATCCTTGATTAGTAATAATAAAGATAATTATGGAAAAACCCTGTCCACAACCCTAGCAAATCACACAATCATCTTTTTTTGGTTTCTTATCATCAATCGGAACACCTTTTAACCGTTGTTGAGCCCGTTTATCACCATGTTCGGCTGCACGACGATACCAAATATTTGCGGCTAGAGGATCTTTTCTAACGCCAATTCCAACCTCTGTGAAATAACCAACAGCGTATTCGGCTTTAGGGAGATTACCCTCTGCAGCACGTTTTGCCCAAAGGTATGCTTCTGCATCACTTTGTGGTAACACACCAGGACTACCGACTAAATACCAAGCTGTTAATGCAAAACAAGCTTCACGATGATCTTGTTGGGCGGCAATAGTATAATAGTGAATAGAAAGAGCGGGATCTTGAGGACAACCCATTTTTCCATATTCATAATTTTCACCCAATTTAAATGCAGATGGAGCATAATTTAAAGCAGCAGCATCTATAAGTAATTGTACTGAATATTCAACATCTACATATATAATATTATCAACACCTCGTTCGTGAAGTTCGGATAATTCATGTAAAGCATGTGGAAATTCATCATTTGCAGCTTCAGCAGCTCGTTTAAGCCATTTAACACCATCACGAAGATTTTTTGACAAACCGCATTCACCTCTTAGTTCAGCGATACCCATACGATACATTGCACCGGGATGACTTGCTGACGCAGATTTTCTGATTTAAATGATGATATTTAAAAAATAGTAAAGATTAATTAAAAAAAATATATTCATATTTGTTTAAAAAAAAAAAAAAATCGATTCCAAGAGGTTAATTTGAAAATCAAAAAAAAAAAAAAAAAAATACTTGTAAAATTGTAAAGCTTTAGCATAATCTTTTCGACAACCCCAACCATGTTCATAACATACACCAGCTCGATAAGCAGCATCAGCGTGACCGTGTTTACTTGCTTGAACAAATAATGGAAAAGCTTTATCAAAGTCTGGTTTATTCTTTGGAGTACCAATCGCGCTTGCATAGCAGTCAGCAAGATAATATTGAGAATTTGCGTGACCTCTGTCAGCAAGTTTTTTTAGTAAAGCCATGCCTTCTTTAACAAGTTCGTCTCGTTTCTTTGCTTCTTCGTCATTCATAGCTCTTGAAGCTTCAACCATAAAAGCAGCAAACTCGAACTGAAGATTTGGGTCGTTAGTTTTTTTTGCATTTAGACGATATAGTTCAAGAGTTTGAGCATGAGAAAGTAGAGAAGCCTTATGGCCAGGTTTTAAATGAGAGTGGTCAAGTAATGGAGGGGTTTCTGCCTCGGGTGTTGCAACCGAAAAACGTTTTGAAATATTTTCTGGTGGCCCAAGAGACATTTTTGTGAAAAAGTATAGATATGTAATATAACAGATAGTATATATTTACACTAAACTTTTTGAATTTATTGTCAAATACCAGGAAAAAAAAACGTGAAAATAGAATTCCATAGAAATTTCCGAATGACTCGACACAGTGAAGTAAATATGAATTATAATTCGTTGAACGCCCAACATTATGTAGTTTGTTTCTATAATTTTTAATCTTGGCAGAGTTACACGAATTTATAGATGACTCGAAATAGAATTTTATTTTACTAAAAATAAACAACATTGCATGATTAAATTTTTAGGGTTATACGATAATAATAGATAGGGGAATTAAGTACTAAACTAGTAGTTATTCTCAAAAATTTTAAAAAAAACTACTTTTATGGCTTTTTTAAAATAAGCTTATGTAGGCAAAACTGATATTTTTAAATAAAATAATTTAAATACCACATATTAGCCGATTTTGCATACAGTTGAAGAATATGTTATATCTATTAATATATGAGTGTTATTTTATAACAAAAATATATAAATCTACTATAAGTTTTAAATTATTTTCAACTTATATATTAACTTAATTTTTAAATTTAGAGTTAAGTATAATAGAATATTTTTTTAAAATTCTATAAAAATTGTAAATTTTATAAAAAGAAAATTTTATTTTTTATTAAAATAATTTTCTTTTATTTTGTAAGCAAACTTGTTTAGCATAGAATTTTATATATAATTATATCTTCAAAATTAAAAAAATTTTTCTTTTTATAAAATTTTATTAAAAAAATTTATAATTTTTATAGAATTTTAAAAAAGTATTTTAACATAATTTATTATTTTCAATATACTTAATTCTAAATTTGAAAATTAAATTAATATATAAGTAAAAATAATCTAGAATTTAAAATTTATAGTAGTTTTATATAATTTTATTGTAATATTTATTATAAAATATTACTTTATATAACATATTCTCTAATTAAAAACTTCAAATTTGTAAATATTTAATTAAATCAATAAATTTTATTATTAATAACAAAATAGTTATATAAAATTTCTAATAAATTATATAATAACTTATTATAAAACTTTATTAGAATATTGTTTAAAAAAGTTAATAGTAACTATTTAATTTAAACAGTATAATATAGTTGACTTTTTCTATAAAAAAAAAGTTTTTGAATTTTAATATTTTAAAATAAATAGATTTCTAACAAAACAGTTTTTGTTTTTGCTTTTTAGAAATTAAAAAAATATTTTAAACTTGGTAATAAAAGATTTAAGTTTAACAAATATAGATTTACTTAGTTCTTGAGACGCGTCGAAGTTTGTTACTTATAGATAAGAGTTTGAACTTATAAAATTTATTGTAATTTGGTTCGTTAGGTACAAGAAACTTGGTGATGTATATGTATTAAATAAAAATATTTACTTATAATTTTAGTATTTATAATAAATATGCAATTTGATTGGTTAATACTCGCGTATAAATCTAAATTTGGTGACTCAAATAAAAAGGCTCAATTTGCAAATTGGCCGATATTATTCTTTATCGTTATATATTTTTTTTTAAAAAAAAAATTTTCTAAAAGAGATGTATAATTGCAATTATTAATATCCGCGGATTAGAGTCTCGAAACTAATACAGTTGTTGGTAGCAAATTAACTAGAATAAAAAAGATACTATAGATAAGTTTTAGTTTTAATATTGTATAACAGGTAAGGTAAAAAAAAAAAAAAAAAAAAAAAAAAAAAAAATATTAAAAAAAAAAGAATTCTAAATCTAGATCACGGGATTAGAGATTGGACCCGTTAGAAAATCGGGTTATCCGGGTAATTTAATTTCGGTAAACAGCAAATTTTTACCGGGTCTAATTCTTACGTGAAATATTTTTGAATAATGCAAATAAAAACGCAGGAATACACAATGGCGCACCAATGATCAGAATCAAATAATTTTATACCATTCAAATGATACAAAAAATAGGTAGATTTTAATCATTAACAAAATTAATTCAAACAATAAATAGTTTTTTTAATATTTTTAGTCTTTGCCGAAGACCCATCGGGTAAAATTTTCTGTACAAAGTAATTGAACTTCGATGCCATATTCAATGTAATAATAAAGTTTAGTCAATTTTAATGATGAATTTCGCGTTATACGTTTCTGTGCATAATACTTTTTTGTGCAGAACATCTTAACAAAGTTATTGGTAAAGAGCGTTCAAAATTTAGAGTTATCGTTATATGCACATCGTCACTGCGGACAAACTAATTAATATATTAAGGCAGATTTTTGGGCACAAAAATCCGCCTTAAACTTGTTATGGTTAGAACTTAATCTTTGTAATGAATGCCGCCAAAAAAAAAAAAACACTTCGAATATTATTTACCGAATTTAACGACATATTATATTGAAACATGTGCATAACGAATCAATAACCATGTGATACCGAATTAAAGACCACGTGCGTACGTACCATCACATAATCGACACATATCAGATATAGATTTTTTTTTTTTTATACGTATTAAATTTGGATTATTTATAATTGTTTATAACATCACACAAAGGTCTCTACCGAATTACAGAAAACTGTCTTGCACGTTTTGTCTAATATATTTATACAGTATATATAGTATTTAAAAATCAGAAGTCTTTCACCAGCTATAATTAAACTCTTAGAATCCCACCCAAATCACAAACATAATAAAAAAATTGGAATTTGGGACGGGCGGAAAGTATACAGTAGCTGTAATATTATTTGATTGGACTATCATCATGTATATGCATGTCAAAAAAAATTCTAACAACAAATAATAAATATAACATTTGACACAATTCAAATTTGATATTACTTAATCGTTTGCATCTTAGATTTTTCGAACCCTGATTGACTAAAATGTTACATCAATTCTCTGTGATCCGACTTTTGTAAAAAAAAATTTATATATAAAAAATCAGCGGGTTTACATTAGCCGATTTATTAATTGTCAGCCTTTCCATTAACGTATAATGCTTACTAGTCAATCGATGGTCCCGACAAAAACCTATTAAAAAGTAACAAAAAAGAGACTTCAGCGCGACTATTTGAAATTTGAAAACGTGATAATAAAATCACATGGCGTCAATTAGTGGAATGTAAAAAACCCGGTAATTTAATATTTAGACTGGCCAAATTTGGGCTCTTATCGTTATCGATTATAGGATTTATTTTTAAAATTTCCAAATTTAAAATTGATTCTAAAAGACGTACTAGTTAGGGACGGGCAAATGTTTTAATTGTTTAAAAATGTTTTTAATACATCATTATGTAATAATTTATTGTTATCTGGCATGATTTGAACGAATACACAGTTATTGGAGGATAATAACAAAATACGTCGCCGAAGGCCACGTGCGTTGTTATTATCTGTGTGATACCGTATTCATCACTATCATGCCGGATTTCAATAATAAAAAGCAGGTATAACGTATACACTTGCGGAAAAAATTAATATTATACCGCAGGTTTTATATTAAAATAACCTAGAACAATGTATTATATTTGAATTTTAATTATCTTATATATTTATCTATTTTATTAATTTAAGTCTTTGTCTTTTTTTTTTGACTTCTATATGTATATTTAAAATAATATCAACTTCTTTTTGATAGTTTTTCTTACTTAATTTGAGGCTTTGAATTCTTCTTTCTGCATTCAAACTTTGCTTCAATATGTTTTAGTTTTTATTTAGTTATTTCTTAATGAATTTTATATATATATTTTTTTGTAAAGGTATCAGAACATTAGCAATCTGATTAGATTTGGTTTAGATTTTTTTTAAAACTAATTTTTCTTAAGGTTTTAGCTTTTTTTTTTTTTTTTTTTCAGCAATCATGCTAATACTTTATTTAATCAATAATTTTAATCTATGACTAAAATATTTTTATTTAGTTTATATTGCTATTTAGTAACTACTACTAAGTATTAACTTATTCAGTTACCATTTTAGTACCTAAGTGTGATCTGCTATAGTAATTTTTGATTTCTTTACTTTTAGACCCATATTATAAGTAACCAAAAATACCTCAATGAAAGGATGCTACAGCTCATCATATTTGCTAATTATATCTATAGATTTTTTTGTAATTTTTAAAATTTCCTCTAACAAACTATTTTTTACTAATTTAAAATCTAAACTAATTACTTTACTGTTCTCATTTATTCATTCTTTATCTAGCAGAGTTTGACTTGATTTAATTATTATTTTTTTTTTTCTTTTGTTTTTCCTTTTTTATTAGTTTTCTTATCTTTCAGTGATATTTTTTCACTTTTCTCCTAATTATTCATTTTTGTATATCTTTTGATCTAGATATTTGTGTATACATATTCTGTCTATAGGTTTTAAAACATGTATTAGAACTTTATAGTAGATTTTTCTGTACTAATTATTTTTTTTATTTTTTCAGTAATATCTTCATTTAGGATTCCTTACAACTATTCAATAGAGATATTCTATAGAATCAGTAGGCAATATAAGAAAAAGCTTCGCTAATAATTAGTAATTATTAATTTTTAATATATTCAGCAGAGTTTAGCAGAGTTTGCTCACCTATTCTTTAGAATATCCATTCGATATTTTGAGCTTGCTTTTCTTTTTCAGATATCTTTATTATGATCTACTTTAACTTATAAAAATCTTAACTTTCTTTTCTTTTCTTGTCAATTTGTATTTATTTTTTTTCTAAACTTACTTGCTTATTTTTTTTAATACTTTTTGTACTTTTTTATAGCAAATAATATACTCATTTAATTCTGGTTCAATAAAATATCTTTTGTATATATTATCCTTATATATCTTAGATTTTCTACTGTTTAATACTCTGACTAAAAAGTAAGTTTTTAATACAAAAGTCTAGTAATCTAGTGTAGTGAATAGGTTGTCAGACTGCCTTGTAAGAGGTCTAAGGTTCAAATCCTAATATTAACAGAATTGAATAATTATCTAGATATCTGTATCCAACTTATAGT